CTGATGCCCCGGAAAAGCACGGCCCAGGGCTCAGCCAAACCGGACCCCGCCGCGCGGACACTCGCGGCTCTGTTCTGGCCGAGGGGCCTCTACCCGGGAAGCCCAACCCGAGGCCGCAGCGACGAGCCGCCGCGGCGCCAGGGAGGGGCCTCTGCGCGTCCAGCGCCGAGCGGAGTCCGGCAGGAGCAAGCAAGGCCGGACTCGGCCGAGCAGAGCCGAATCCTGCCAAGTGCTGCCGAGGACAACCGAGCAGAGCCGAGTCTGACCGAGCCTGGCGGGGGCGGTCGAACATGGCCGAGTCTGACCGAGTGGAGCCGAACGTGGCCGAAGAGAGCCGAGTCCGGCCGAGCGGAGCTGCGACCAGGCGGAGGTCTCGCGGCGCCCCCTGCCGGACACAGAGCACAGCGCAGGCCCCGGCCGGAGCCAGTCTGGCTGCGACAGTCCTGTGAGGTGAGGGTAGGAAGCCCATTTTATGGATGAGGAAACTGAGGCTCCAAGCGGTTCCAAGGCTAGCCCGGAGGCCCGCAGAGCTAAGAAGTGGTGGCGCTGGGGTTGGAGCCTGATTGCGTGGCTGACAGCTCAGCTGACTGCCCCCCTCGTAAACAGGCATTGTGAGTTTGCTTTGTTGTCCTCGTGATTGCTGCTATTTTACGGCCAGAGAGCAGGAGGGACCTGCGCTGTCTGATGAGCGGAGGGAAGCCGGAGCTCAGAGACAACCCCTCCTTACAGATGGAGAAACAAAGCAGGCTCCGGGCCGTGTTGACCAAATGCAGCGCAGGACTGGCCGATCGGTGTGCAAATATGACATATTTGCTGGGAATTAAAGCAGATAGCAGGACCCGGGGCCACGTCCCACCCCTGGCCTCCCTTTCCGCACCTGTAACAAGCCGGCCACAGGGGACCTCGGCTCCTGGCTGCCTCCAGGCTGTGTTCCTGGGATGTGTGAACCAGGACCTGAGGTGTCTGGGACCCTGGAAATGCCAGGTGTGGCCCAGGCATTTTTTTTTTTTTTTGAAAAGATGCCCTCCACACACACACATGCACAAGTGTTTGCCCTTCGTTCACCCCTGTGTGCACAGCAGCGAGGTCTGCGGGCCAGGCCTGTGCTGGGCTGCAGGGCTCACTGGAGGGTGGCTGAGCCTCTAGGAGGCCACGGAGTCCCCGCCGGGCCTGGGCTGCCCTCATGCCTGTCTGGTCTTCCCTGAGGACACCATCTGCCACCACCCAGTGGCCACCGAAGTGCTGGCACCTCTCCACTCCCCGCATCGCTCCTGCCACCTTGCCCCTCAGTTTCATAGTTTTTAAAAAAAAAAAAAAACTATAGACACTGGACTGAGGGCTGGGAAAACAGGGTTCTTGGTCCTGCTTCTGGTACCGTGACCCTGAGCCAGGTGCTTGACCCTCCCTGGCCTCACCGTCCTCCGCTGTAAATGGGTATCAGAGCTATCCTCAGTGCCTGGACTGTCTTGCATGCCCCCTTTCCTGTGCATAAACTCGTTTCCTCTTTACATTCAGCGGGGCCATCATGCCTCCTGGGGAGACTTCTTCCCCCCACCCGTGGAGGGATTCTTGCTTCTGTGAAAGCACGTCTCACGTTCATTGAACATAGCACCTAACGCATCAGGCACTGTGCTAAACTGTTAAGAAATATTCACTCATTTAAACCTCCCAACAATAGAGACATCTGCTCTCATCCTCTTCTCAGAGAGGAGGAGACAAAACACAGGAAGGTTAATTAACGGGCTTAAGGTCAAACAGCTAGTGAATGGATGAGCCGGGATTCAAACCCAGGCAGTTCCAGGGTCCATGTGCTTCAGAACGGGCTAGTTTATCTCTTCTCTTTACTGTGACTTCCTTAGCTCCTAAAAGACAGGCCTTGCAACTTCTCTGCCTTCAGCCTTTTGCAATTGGCAGTTGCCCCCCAAAACACTTGCTGAATGAAAGAGTGAGCGGGCCAGTCCAGCAGACCACCCCCCGGAGGTCCTGGAGAGGAGGGACCATAGTCTCTGTTTTGCACATGGGGAGCTGTGTTCGCTTGCTGGGGCTGCCGTAACCAAGTACTACAAAGTAGGTGGCTTGCAACAGAAATTCATTTGCTCCTGGTTCTGGAGGCTGGAAGTCTGAGATCAAAGAGTCAGCACAGTTGCTTCCTTCTGGAGGGCTCTGAGGACCTCCTGCCCAGCTTCCCGCGCTTGGCTGACAACGTTCGGTGTCCCGGGGCTTGTAGAAGCATCCCCCGGCGTCTTGGGCTCCTGTCTGTCCAAATCTCCCTTTTGCTTAAGAACACCGGTCTCATTGGATTAGGTGCCCACCCTGCCCCAGTATGACCTCATCTTAGCTACTTTCACCTGAAGGGACCGGACTTGCAAAGAAGGTCACATCCAGAGGACCGGAGGTTAGGACTTGAACATGAATTTGGCAAGGAGACACAACTCAACCCGCAACAGGAATTAACCCCCTCCGAGGTCCTGTCTGACACAACTTCTGCCCCTCAGCCGGGCCCTACCTCTGCCTTTCCTCCTTTTCTTGACTGCGTTCCTCTGGCCTTCAGGTCTTAGCGCACACAGGTCCCTGTGCCAGGCACTCGGCTGGCTGCCCTCTGCTCCCCGTGCAGAAACCCCCCCTGTGACCCCTCCCCCATCACGCTTCCCTCCCAACTAGATAGTCATACATTTACTTGTGTGGCTGCCCAGGAACAACAAGGGCGCAGGGACTGTGTCTGTCTTCCTCCACCACACCTTCAGTCCAGGGTCAGAGCCTTGCCTACTGTCCGTGCTCAGGAAAATCTTTGTTAACTTCATGAGCTAAGCCCAGAGAGGTGAAGTAAATGGCCCAAAGCTGCACAGTAGGTTTGTGACGGAGTGGGCCTCAGTCCCAGGCCTCCTGATTCAGGTCCCATAACTTTTAGGGGATGCATTTCCCCCACAGGCTTCCAGTGGTCTCACCAAGAATGTCACCAGGGCCTGCCAGTGACAGGGGGCAGTGCAAGGCCGTGGCAGGACTGTGGCCTTGTGCTACTCCTGGGAATGGCCCCCACATTCCAGCCTGGGGTTCTTGCCACCTTTAGAGTGTTTCCTTCTGTGTTTGTAGTCCTGTGGAGCCCAGCTGTCACCTCCCCACGCGTTGGTGGCCTCTGTCTCCTGGAACCGCTTGTAGGTGAGGACAACCTGAAGCCTGGGACCCTGGCTTGCCCTAGCCCAGGCCCTGGAGACACCCAGGTCCTCCCCACTGATGCTGATGCTGACGCAGGAAGTCCTGGTCCCGAGCCTGGTGGCCATGGGCTGTTGCCTGGCAACCGCCTCTGAGAGACAAGTTCAAGGTAAGGCCTTGGGTGTGAGCCACTTGAAGATCTGGAGAGGAGCAATCAGGCAGGAGGGTCATCTCCACCCCTTCCTGCCTGCCCAGGCCCCCAGCCCCAAGCCTCTCCTCACCCTACGGCTCCTGCGCTTCCAATAACCCACAGATTCCAGGCCCAAACCCTTATATAGGTTCCTTCCATCCCCCTGGCCTTCCCCCCATTGATTCAGGGTCACTGCGTGGCACACATCCAAAGGAGGCTAGAGTCACGGGGTGAAAACTGCCCCTGGAGTTTGTGAGATGGAATTCCCCTATTCATTCATTTATTGCAAGTAGTCGTAGTTACCTGACCCTGGGAACACAGTCCCTGCCCGCGGAGACAAGGCTGACGTTGGGACATCCACACGCATAAATGTGAGCGGGCACAGGCAGTGACACATGGCATGGTGGGATCCAGAGGGGGAACCCTGGCGGGGAAACCACTCCCATGGGACACTTAGCCCCCAGCAGTCCCTCTGCTCCCACCTCATGCACACCCGCCTCGGGCACAGTAGACCCTTGGTGTTAACACCCCCACGCGCGTTCACTCGCGTGGATGTGGCTGAGATGCCCAAGCCCCTACCACGCACCCCGTGCTCACAAACGCACACACAGTCTGTTGCTGCCTGGAGCACACCCCTGCCTTTGGGTCAGGCCAGACTGTCCCTCACAGC